TTCTCCATTCCGCTCTCTCTGCTCACTTCTTTCCTTTCCTCCTCCTGCTTATCTTTGTCCAACCAGTTGTCTGCTGTGCGAGCACCAGTGAAACTTCCACAATAAGTATTGATGACGTTGTGCGCTTGCACTCACCATATTTGAGGGTCGATGACACAGTGTGCCCATGCCCCCCCTATATTTTTAGGGCTATTGATACAATGCATTCACTCGTGCAGTGACTAAAGATTGTCGAAGCCATGCATTGGAAAGTGCTACATTACCTTCGAACCAAAAAGCCATATTTAGGTATCACATTTAGCTGAGTATCTGCAAACACTCAACTTATGCATAATGATAGGTTGTGCCAGTGGACACTTGAGCAGAAATTAGCAATTGGTCGTGCCAGTGGTCATCGGAACAGAGAATGATGTGCGCTTGAACTGAGCGTAACGACTTGCTGTGCCAAGGGGCACTCAAACTGAGTATGTCGATTTGCTGTGCCAAGGGGCACTCAAACTGAGTGTGTCGATTTGCTGTGCCAAGGGGCACTCAAACATAGTATGTCGATTTGTTGTGTCAAGGGGCACTCAAACATAGTATGTTGATTTGTTGTGCCAAGGGGCACTCAAACTTAGTATGTCGATTTGTTGTGCCAAGGGGCACTCAAACTAAGTATGTCAATTAACTGTGCCAAGAGGCACCCAAACTGAGAATAGTGACTCAGTGCGCCATAATGCGACTGTGCGCACGTAAACTTAAGTGCGACACTGCGCTACTAGTCTGCAAATCAAGGCCTCTAGTGATCTCAGATAAGCGCGGATGATCTTGGATATAATGCGACTGTGCGCAGAAAAACCAGTGCGACACTGCGCACTCAACCTGCACACCGCGGCTCATAACAATCCCAGATAAGTAAGATACGGCACTCTTGAACAGTAAACCCTGGATTGATGATCATGAGTATCATGCCGATTTTGAAATTGTGCCTGCGCAGTCACATTGAGTATCATGTCGATTTTTAGGGGCGTGCCTATGCACTCTCACTGTATACCACGCTTGAGGGTCATATCTGAACTGTGTGTCTGCGCGCACCATGCTTGAGGGCCATATCTGAACTGTGCGCCAGCGCGCACCATGTCTGAGGACCATATCTTAACTGTGTGTCTGCGCGCACCATCCTTGAGGACCATAACTGAACTGTGTGCCTGCACGCACTATGTCTGAGGATCGTATCCGTGCGCCCATGCGTACCATGCCTGAAGATCGTATCTGTGCACACTATGTTTGAGGGCCAACTCTGAACTCACGCGCACTGGCTGGGGGCTGTCTCTGAACTCACGCGCACCGGTTGTGCACCCACGCGCACCCTGCTGATAAGTCAAACGTATCTGTGTGCCCAGGCGTGTTCTACAGAGAGTGTTACTGATGCAGATGTTGTGCGCACATGCGCACTATAATTAAGGGCTGATTTTCGGGCCAGTTGTTGTGCGCACATGCACACTATAATTAAGGGCTGATTTTCGGGCCAGATGTTGTACGCACATGCGCATTATAATTAAGGGTTGATTTTGAACCGGTGTGCCAACAGGCACTCAGATCTGAGAACCTTGCTTTGACCAGCGCCAACGAGCACTTGATCTGTGAACTCGGACCTGATGAATTTGAGGAAGTGTAACAGCGTTGATCTTGATTTCGAACAGTGGGCATTGTTGAGTCTGAGCACTCTGCTGTTGACCCTGCCAATCATTGATTCATTATCCCGCAGTGGACGTCATTGAGTTTGAGACTGTGCGCCAATGCATGCTTCGCTGTTTGACTTTGTCAATTATGATTCTTTGTCCTACAGCGGAAACTGATATTTGAGTGTGCGCCCGCGAGCGTCCAAGCTTTATATTATTATTTGAGTGCGCGCCCATGCGCGCCCAAGCTTTATATTATTACTTGAGTGCGCGCCCAAGCTTGATATTGATATTTGAGTGTGCGCCCATGCGCGCCCAAGCTTGATACTGTATATTTGAGTGCGCGCCCATGCGCGCCCATG